GTGTGAGTAAGGTTTTGTTTGATATGTTGAGAATGTAACCAGCCTTTGATTCCATATTCATGCCAAATGTTTCATATTACACACATACCCACTTTATCATATGCTTTCTCTTAATCAATAAATGGACAAGCAAAAACCTGCTGTGCATACTACTTGCCCAGCATAAAAGCCATACCACAGTTCCCAAAGGTTGCCCATGATAATCTCCTATGCTCTTTCATTCAGAATTCTGCCAGGCACGCTTTACAAACAGTTATTCTTGCTATCTTTTCCTTTGTGTAAGGAAAGAACACTGGCATTTTTTTAGTCATCAGGCACAGATGCAGTTTTAACAACTTCTGTGTTAAAGAAGTTGCACAGCCCCTCCATAAGCAAACCACTATCCTTGTGTTACCATTTCTCCTGTTACACCAACCTGCAGCCTTACCATTTTTTCAGTACTGTCACAGCACTTAATTCATTTTCATCATTTTATTTTCTTGGACCCTGAAAATTTGTAGCACCTGTTTTAATTCCATTTTTTTCACACATCTCTATCATTCCAATACAAATTTCTAAAATATTCTTTTCATCATTCTCTCACTTCAGTTTCACCTCAGTTTAGCTTTCTTTGCCCACTTCTAAAGCATATTTTTATTTCTATCAGAATAATTTGGCATTTTCTCTGCCTCTCTTAATCTTAAGTGTTCTTGTTCTCTTTGACTACAATTTTTGCATATACTGTATATTTTTATCTCTGTACATGTTATACAGTATCTTTTACTCATCCCCATTTTTGCAGCAATTGGGGTGTGTATTTTTTCCTCATTCACAGCCTCTTTACCATCCCAGCACGCTTTCCATTGGCATAACTCCAACACTTCTGCAACACTCTACAGCATAATTGTTCCCACTGTATTCCAAGCAGCCTCCACATCCTCTTTCTTTTTCTCCAGTTCCTATTTGTTTTGCTGGGGAATTAATGTACCTTCTGATTCTTTTCATGCAGGACTCGTACTGTCTCTTTCTGCAGTTATTCTACTTTCATTCTTGTTACTTTTATATTCTTGTTACTGTCTATTTTTCCCAAAATCCACTCTTGACACCACCAAATCATGGTCTGTCCAGCATTCAGAACCTTTCATTAACCTTGTATTTTTCATTAATTCTCTCAGACTTCCCTCATAAGCGATCAAATCAATTATCCGTTTAGATTTATATTCTTTTCTTGTATATAAACAGACTTAAGTTTATAATCAAAATGAACAGACTTGCTCTGAGCTGATACCCTCCTATCAACATTTCCATTCATTCCTAGGTCTCAAAATGGATTAGCCATTCCTGCCTGTCACATTTATGTCACCTAATGAAATAATCTATTACTTCCTTCCCCATCTTTTATCTACATTACTTTATTTCATTTCAGTTGCTCCCCGCCATTTGCTTCTCTGCATTCCAAACTGCAATCTTGGTCATCATCCAGAGATACTGACCTACGCCGTCCATCATGGCTTTGGTCAATCATGGCTTTCACATAATACTTTTCAGCAAGATAGAGAAGGTTACCAGCCCTTCTGGGACTCTGCCAAATGAAGCATTCCTTGCTCATAGTGATGACTGTGCTGGTTAGGTTTGGTATTTTGGCCACAAGCACAACTAAAGCCCAGGTTTACCTCCAGCATGCTCAAAGAATTCTATGCCAACTTCTATGCCAGAGATGGTCTAGGCACCCTCTATTGCCAGTCAGTGCCCTCACACATTCAGGATGCACAAAAGCTTCCACAGTCCTAATCTGGGCCATATTCTGAACATATTCTGCATAAGCAGCATCCTGCTAAAAAAGTCTGGTTGTTGCTGGGATCTTTGCATTTTGGATTCATACTCGCAGCCTAAGCAGCTTCCTGGTGGGATATTGATTTACTGGGTACACTTTCTTCTGCCCCCTACTTTGAAAGCTTTAAATGGAAAAGTAACCTGTAGGTATCCATATAAATTTGTGCTAAAGGACTTACCTGGGCCCATTCCAAAGAAGAACACAAAACAGAAGATCAAAGATAGGATACAGTAGGGCATCCAGGAGAACCAGGGCTGAAATAAATAAAACTGCACTTTAGTTTATTAAGTTACTATTATTAAACTTGTATGCCACGGAACTCTCAATGTCTCATGAACTGGAGATTCCTTGTTGGTGATGGATTTTTATTGAAAGCCCACCAACAATAGACATCCCAAGTCTTTCCCCACTATTCTTGTCCTCCCAATCTACATGGTCCTTTGATGTGAGCAGAAGAAATTCCTCTTCTGGCTTTGCTCAGCCCTATAAGGACCCGTTCACCAGCCTTGATTCTTCATTGGGAATCCAATCACCTTCCTCAGCCGGCAGGTGGGTTGCCTCCTTCTTTTCTAACCACAAAAGTGTGTGTGTGTGCGGGGGGGACCTAATAAACCAGGGAAGTGCAACCTGGAGCCCCAGTGGCTTGGTTATCATTCCCAAAGCTCCTGCTATGATTTCTACTGTGTTCAATGAGAAACAATAGTAAGTACATTTAACTCAAGTTCTGTTGAGTATTTGGCTTAGACCCTCCTACAAGTTATAGTGCAATGGCCTCCTCCAGTAAATCACTCAACAGCTGTGCATCCCTTGCCTGGATGAGCAGTTCATGGAGCATTTGCTCACCTGCAGGGAGAGGGCCAAGGTGATAACAGCCAGCACAGTGCCCATTAAAGCATAGCCTGCCCAGAGCAACACCTTTCTTCCGTATCGTTCGATGATGAAGCTCTGTGGGGTTGGGGGAGAGAAATGACAGCTTGGAAGCAGCAAGGATGCACTTGCACCTTAGCCCATGGCTGATTCAGTGGCAGGTCTAAACAGGGTCCTATGGCAAGCCTGTTCATAGCTGGGCACAGAGGGCCATGCTGCTGCTTGACAAACTCCCTACCCCAAGGCCTGTTGGCTACCACACTTCCTCCCAGGGGCCAGGAGGAAGGAATGTTATCCCCCAAATGTCTTCTCCATCCAGTTCCTGCAAGACCTTATTTACATCAGAACTGGCCATGGTTTCAAAATCCACCACAGGCCTGGGGCTTGCAGAGGGTCCAACTCGTGACCACAAAGGCAGCCTATAGCCATGATCCTGTTCTGAAGGAAGGGGTGCCGTGTGCCCTCCCTTGAGGTGGGGCAGCAGCTGTCCTGGCCAGTTCCTGCTGCATTCCCCCCCCCCCCCCCCCT